TAGGTCGACTTGTTAACATAACAAGCTCAGTTTCAAACTCGATTTGACTCGTGTTACTCACAAACTAGCTCCTTTAACTCGTTATAAATATAAACGACAAAAATATATGTATCATGTATGTAATTAATTTACAAAAATATTAGTAGACACATATTTTTCTTCACAATTATAACAATCAATAATTTACGTCAAATGACACTTGGTGCACACAAATCACAACAATATTGGTACTTACATCATGTCCAATTCAGTTAACAAGGTAAACGAGTAGCTCGTCAGCTCGAGTCATTCAACTCAATCTGTTAACGAGCTCGCCGTCGGGGAACTAACGGACGCCGAGGAGGGCGGCCGTCAGGAGGAATGACACTATTGTCCTGGAACTGTCGGGGTCTGGGCCACCCCGGAACAGTTCGAGAACTAGTGTGCCTAGTGCGCACCCACAGCCCCACTGTTGTGTTCATCTCAGAGACGCGACAGTGTAAGGAGAGCGTGAAAAGAATAAGAGAGAGAATAGGTCTGGAAAATTGTATCACCCATGATGGGGTAGGCAAAGGTGCCGGCATCGCCCTATTTTGGGACGATAGCATTGAAATAAACTTGCTCTCTTATGGACCGCGGTATATCGATGTTCATATTCGGAATGAGCCTAACGGCCCCTTGTGGAGAGGTACGTTTGTGTATGGAGAACCAAAGGCACATGAGAGGTACGATATGTGGAATTTACTCAAAAGAATCAAGCCTAGATCAGCTGAACCATGGATGATGATGGGCGACTTCAATGAAACGATGTGGCAAGGGGAACACTTCTCTGCAGCAAAAAGATCTGAAAGAAACATGAGTAACTTCAGGGATTGTATGGGATGGTGTGACCTACAGGATTTGGGTTTTAAAGGGCCGGAATGGACCTATGACAATAAGCAGAAGGGGATAAAAAACGTAAGAGCACGACTGGACAGAGGGGTAGCGTCTCCGGCTTGGAGTGAACTGTTTCCCCAGGCGCATATTCAGCACATTGTCACTTCGAGGTCCGACCATTTTCCCCTTCTGCTATCTCTAACTGATGCACACCCTCCAGTCAGACACAAAAGCTTCAGATATAAAATAATGTGGGAGAGAGTCGGCACTTTGGAACCCACTACCAGAGAAGCTTGGAACAGAGAGGGATTCGCAGGTAGTCTGTCAGAATTTGCGCTGAAACTAAACATAATGCAGACATCACTAGCGGCATGGTCCAAGAAAGATTTTGGCGCGGTTTCCTCGAGCATTAAAAAGAAGAGACAGCGCCTGAAAGTATTGACAAAGGGGCTGGACCAAAGGAATAAAGAGGAACAAATAAGAAAGTTGTCAAAGGAACTTGATGAACTGCTACTACGCGAGGAAGTAATGTGGAGGCAAAGATCACGAGCCACCTGGATTAGAGAGGGTGACCAAAACGCACGCTATTTCCACCAAAAAGCTACCTGGCGCCAGAAAAAGAACACAATTAAAAGGCTAAGAAATGCTGATGGAGTCTGGATAGAAAAGAAGAAGGAGCTCAACACCCTTGCCACAAAGTTCTTCAGGGAATTGTACACTAAAGAGGAAGGTGTGGCTCCTTTTGACCTGATTAATTTGCTACCCCGTTTGGTGGATGAAGAGATGAACAAAAAATTGATAGGGGGGGTTCACAGAGAAGGAAATAAGCGATGCCCTTTTTCAGATCGGCCCGCTAAAGGCTTCGGGCCCGAACGGATTCCCGGCCCGTTTTTTCCAGCGAAACTGGGAGATAATGAAAAATTAGGTGGTGGCAGCTGTGCAGAATTTCTTTGAAAACGGGATCATGCCAGAAGGAATAAACGATACGTCGATCGTCCTCATCCCCAAAGGAAAGAACCCCAAAGCTTGAAAGACTTCCGACCAATAAGCCTCTACAATGTTATATATAAGGTGATCTCTAAATGCTTGGTGAACCGGCTGAGACCAATGTTAGATGGACTAATCTCAGAAACCCAGAGCGCGTTTGTTCCGGGAAGATTAATCACAGACAATGCCATCATAGCGTTCGAGTGTTTCCATAAGATCCAACAAAGCAAAAACCCGCACAATACACACTGTGCGTATAAGCTGGACCTCGCCGAAGCCTATGACAGAGTGGATTGGGACTTCCTAGAAGGAGCCTTGGAAAAGTTGGGTTTCCATGCTCGTTGGATAAACTGGATTATGAGATGCGTTAAATCTGTCCGGTACTCGGTGAAACTGAATGGAGAAGTCTTGGAACATTTTCTTCCTTCGAGAGGGCTCAGACAAGGTGATCCCCTCAGCCCCTATCTGTTTCTTTTTGTCGCTGATGGGCTCGCCACAATCTTCAACAGGGAGGTTCAAGGTGGAAGCATTTCACCTGTCAAAGTGGCCCGCAACAGTCCTGAAATATCAAATCTGTTATTTGCCGACGATAGCTTGGTATTTTTTAAGGCCTCTTGTGACCAAGTCAGGGTGGTTAAGAGGGCGCTTACCATGTTCCAAAGATGCACATGCCAACTATTGAGTAGCAGCAAATGCTCTATATTATTTAGTGAGCATTGCCCCAACGCGTTACAGGAGGAAATTAAGGATATCCTCGCTTGTGAATCATCTACGTTTGAAAGTAAGTACCCGGGACTCCCAACTCTAGAGGGTAGGATGAAAGATGCAAACTTCCAACCTATTATGGATAGATTCTTAAAGAGATGCAATGATGGGTTGGGTCGCCACATGTCTTTTGCGGCAAAAGAGGTTCATGTCAAATCAATAGTTCAAGCCCTGCCTACTTTTACTATGGGAGTTTTCAAATTCTCAGTGGGTTTTTGTGACAAATATGAGCGTCTCATCAGAGAGTTCTGGTGGGGGGAAGATGAAGGACAAAGGAAAGTACACTGGATGTCGTGGGAGCGTATGATTAAGCCCAAGAGAGCAGGAGGGATTGGTTTTCATGATATGCAGATTTTCAACCAAGCCCTCCTCGCAAGACAAAGTTGGCGCCTGCTTCAGAACCCAAATAGCCTTTGTGCTAGAGTCCTTAAGTCAAAATATTATCCTAAAGGAGATCTCCTTGATATTGTTTTTGCTTCGGACGCATCCCAAGCATGGAAGGGCATTGAACATGGCCTTGAGCTTCTAAAAAAGGGGCTGATATGGAGAGTTGGAAACGGGAAGAAAATTCAGATTCAAAGAGACCAATGGGTCCCAAGGAAAAGTGGGCTGAAAGTAACAGAGTTTAAGAGACGATCAAGGTTAAGGTGGGTAAACCAGCTAATGAAATCAGATAGCAAAGAATGGGACGAGACACTCATCCACCAACTGTTCCATACCTATGATGCCGAAGAAATCTGCAAGATTAAAATTCCTAGATATGAAGCTGAGGATTGTGTTGCATGGCATGAAGAAAAACCTGGCTTGTTCACTGTCCGAAGCGCATACAGGTTGGGTGCAAGTCCCAAACAACATGGCGACGCGCTGGCGTCGAGCTCGTCTCATGATGCGGAGAATATAAGCATATGGGACCTCATATGGAAAACGAAAGTACCGGAAAAGGTCAGGATTTTTGTGTGGCGAGTGGCAACTAAAACACTCCCCACCAAAGAGAATAAGTGGAAAAGAACACTTGAGCTTGACAACATCTGTAGTATATGTGGGAGGGAGCCGGAGGATGAGTTCCATGCAACAGTTAATTGCACAAAGGCCCGTGCACTCCGAGAGAAAATGAGATCGAACTGGTGCTTACCGGATGAGGATCATTTCAGGAAAACCGGTGTTGACTGGCTCCAGAATCTACTAGGGAACTGCGATGCAGAACAAGGAGGAAAATATTACTCCTGTTGTGGCGTGCGTGGTGGCTGCGCGATGATTGCATCCATGCGGATGGCAACGCTATGATCAGCCATTCAACGGGCTTCTTGGTCAAATATGTTGAGGAATTGAATCTGATAGGAACTGAACCCACTGCAGACGAGGTGGACGGTCACCTGGTCGGCGTTCAGAAACCTGGCTCTGTTGAGGCGCGCCGCGCGGAGATTAGAAATGGCAAGAAGCCCCAGGAGCAGTGCTTGTGGAACGGCCAAAATAATAGTACCCGTGAGGAACTGGAAGCAGACCAATCAGCAAGGACGGCAATGAAGCCCATACATACAGAGAGGAGCAAATGAGAACCGCCACCGGAAGGCATATGGAAATTAAACTCTGATGCAACGTTCCTAACCAATACTGGCGACACTGTGGCTGGAACCATCGCCAGAACACACCAGGGTGTGGTTGCATTAGCATGTGGGCAGCGACTGCATGCATGCAAGGACCCAGAAGAAGCTGAAATGGCTGCTGTTGCACACAGACTCTCAGTATTAAGCAAATACTACAGGGGGCCAGTTTGTGTGGAATCAGACTGTGCTTCAGTCATCATAATGCTGAATAACAAAGCAAGTAATCTGTCGGCTCTTTTCCTCCTAGTCATGAAAGTGAGGCACTTCATGAATATTTTCAAAGAAGTGACCTTCAGTAGCGTGAGAAGATCCAGCAATAAACTGGCACATGAGCTTGCTGCTCTAGCAAGAAGACAGAGAGACCTCTTTATTTTTGGCGATGTCCCTCCTTCTTTAAGGAGCATCCTCATAGAGGACTGTAATAGCTCTTCCATTGTTACTTAAGTTGTTGCTGGTTTGATCTAAAAAAAATTGAAACCCATCTGGACTCATTAGTCAGCGAGTTCGAGTCAAAGTGGAGCCGACTCACCGGCTACTCATTTAGCTCACGACTTTTATTTGCAGCCCTCCTTATCCATCCTCCGTGTGGAGGAAACGACCAGCCGCCGTGCGCGGTGACGTCCCCGCTGACGCCCGGCCCCTGGAGCACGCAGCTCGCTGGCTGCTCACGGCTCATCGTCACGGCCTATTTATGGATCCGCCGCCTGCCACCGGCCGCCGGCAGAACTCCCGCGACTATCAGGATCGGCGGCTATACACCGTGAACTGCGCCACTAGACTAGGAAGAAAATGGGGTGGAAGGGCGTCCTGGGGTTCGACTACGGCGTCGTGCAGGCACCGCTCGGCCCCGACATCTCCGGCCCGGAGCTCGCCGCCGCCGTCGCCAACGCTGGCGCCATAGGCCTCCTCCGCCTTCCTGACTGGGTACCTCGACTTTCCTATCCTACCCTCTTTGCTATTTACATGCGCTCTGCCAGTCTTGGCTAATCGCCGGAGCCCCCTACCTGCCTGCAGCCGGCGCCGGACCACGTGAGGGGGTTGATACAGAGGACCAGGAGCCTGACCGAGAAGCCGTTCGGGGCGGCCATCGTGCTGGCCTTCCCGCACGAGGAGAATCTGAGGGTCGTGCTGGAGGAGAAGCTCGCCGTGCTGCAGGTGTACTGGGGCGAGTTCCCCAAGGAGCGGGTCGACGAGGCCCATCGTGCCGGCGTCAAGGTCTTGCATCAGGTGAGAACCTTATCTGAAGGACACTTCACCGGAATGGATGAAACCCGGCTGCGGCTTGTGCTTGTACTTAACAGTTAACACTTGTGCCGTTCTTATTACCACTTTCCTTGTCTGATTGCGTTTGCCTAGTATATGTTCGTTCCAATTTCCGTAATTAACATTTGTGATGTCATTGTAGTACTAGACTGGACTCTTTCTTCCTACTCACATTCCTGACTAATAGTGCCCAACTAATTAGACAAAATTAGTTGGAGCAAAATCATTTTGTTCTTGACAGTTGTGAGAGAGGGCAAAGTCCAGTGGCCGTTAGCTAAGATATGGCTGCTTAACACCTTTGTTAATTAGTCAAAACTTGTGAATGGTATGTATCAAATTTGCTAAATCATTGGAGGGCGGTGGCCGGTGGCCGTTAGCTAGAGTACGTTGACTGGTCATTATTCTGTATATGTCCAACTTCAAACAAGTGTTGTGTTCTTCAATGGTTTTGGTGCAAATGTAATGAACAGCAGCGGAATGGGCTTTTATGTTATATAGACAGATGGAGACTTCCAACAGAATTTGTTCTCTCACAATGATATTTGGACTAAGAATGGAAGGGCTAGAGTTTCTTATATGGACTCTGTCTCTGCAGCAAACCATGAAATCATGAATATACCTAATTAAATCATACTCCCTCCGATCCAAAATAAGTGTCGCAGTTTTGAATTGTGGTTAGTTCAAAACTGCAACACTTATTATGGATCAGAGGTAGTAGTTTTTAGCCTTTCCAACAAAGAAATCAGAGCTTTCTACTATTAGTGCACACTTGCAGCTATTCTAACAAGTACATTTAAAATTTTCTAAACTTCTTTTGGAGGTCTAGTAAGAAACTATAGTACTGTTATGTCAAGTTTTAGAATGCGATCCTTTTCATAAAAGAAATACTTCTTATCGGTAGTGAACATAAAGTTGAGTTTATAAGAAAATGCTTGTTATTCATTTCTCTCCAATTTCCTAGGACTGCTGGGATCATGGGATGATTTCAGATTTGTGATATTGATGAACAACTAGGACTAGCATTTGATGTAGACCATTCAGGTTTCAATGAACTCCTTGTTGGTGCGAAGAAATTCACAATAAGTGCCAATGCATGACCTGTAGTCAAGGCTTTGATGCTCTATGATGATGATATGAGCATGTAAGTCCTTGCACTTGTTCTGTTGATTATGTATATTTAGATTTGTTTTTTTCCTTTGTGACTTGAACAGGTTGGTAACCTTGAGGAGGCAGCAAAAGCTAAGGAAGCTGGTGTAGATGGAATTATCGTTCAAGGCCGCGAAGCAGGGGGGCATGTGATTGGTCAAGTATAGTCATTACACACTGTTTCCATCTTGTTTTCGCTTCAATATTTTGAAATGCTGTTAGGCAGTCTACCAAGAAGCAAGCATGCATGCAATAAGAATCTACACCATGTGCCCATGATATATTCCAGGCTACTGATTTAGCTTAAGGCCCCTTTTGTGGTGTCATCTTTGGAAGCATAACACATCTTGCAAGTCTGTTTCTATTTAATTGTCTTCATGGGCTTTCATCTCAAACAGCTTTTCTTCTTTGAATAAAAAGGAGGGTCTGCTACCGTTGCTGCCGAGAGTAGTGGATCTAGTTTCAGATAGTACTGTTTCGGTTATCGCCGCTGGTGGAATCGTAGATGGCCGTGGCTATGCTGCTGCATTGGCACTTGGTGCTCATGGTGTTTGCTTAGGAACTAGGTACTTGCTCAATCTTTCCTTTGTATGATTATGTCAAGCAAAGCTTTTCTTTATGCTTATGCATGTTGTGGTTCTCACATTATGAAATTCCTTAATATTCAGGTTTGTAGCCACCGAGGAAAGCTTTGCGCATCCGCTGTATAAGAAAAAGCTAATTGAGATGAATTGCACGGACTATACAGCTGTGTTCGGGCGTGCTAGATGGCCTGGTGCTCCACAACGTGTCCTGAAGACACCTTTCTATGTTGAGTGGAAGAATCTTCCAGATCATGAAACAGAGGAAAATCAGCCTATTATAGGTCATTCTATCATCCATGGTGTGGTATGTATTACTTGTTTATTTTTGTTGAATTTATCCCCTCATTCTGCATTTAGAAATTGAAACCATCTTACCGAAAAAGGCTTTCGCCCCGCTTTATATATAAAGCAACGATCCAGTTACAACCAACCTCATACAACTCCACACCAACACACACAGGGCAAGATACAAAAATGTTGGGAACAGCTACACCACCCAACACAACTCCAAGCCATCTACAGGAAGGAAGAGAGAGCGCCGCTTGAAGTCGCCGGGTGCCTCAACCGTGAACGCAACATAGCGAAGAGTCGGAGCTGTGCACGACGAACCGATTACTCCAAGGCGGAGCCTTCAACAAGGTCATGGCACCTAAGTACCGCCACCGCCTGATCCAGGGATCGAGGTTTCCCTCGGAGCAACACGGAGGAGGAAGAGGAACCACGGCGACGCCTTCAAGAAGGATACAACGCCCGTAGGCGCCGCCGCGCCGACCTGGCAAAGCCAGAAAGAGTTTTCACCCGGCAAGCCCTCTTTGCCTCCGAGACAGAGTGCCGCAAGCACGCTGCAGAACCACCGCCACCGACCGTCATGCCCAAGCTACCACGCCGCCCGCACGACCATGGTAACCGGCCAACATCCGAGCCGCGAGCTCCGCCCACGAGCATCGCGCCTCCCACCACCGAGGCCGCCGCCCCGGCATCCGAGACCACCCCTCGACCGCCGCCGCCGCACACCGACATCGTCAACAGGTGAAGGGGCAGCAAAGACCCCCTCTTTCCGCCCCAAACAAGTTCCTATGGCAGGAGCGGCCGGCAGCCAGATCTGGGCAGGGAAAACGCCGGCGGCCAGCCGTGCTGCAGCCACCCGAGACACCCGATCTGGCACCTCCAAATCGCGGCGACGGCGAGTCCGGGAGGCACCCCTGCCTCCCCCTCACGGCGCCCTTGCCATTCACCAGCCAGCCAAGCCACACCAGAGCACAAGAGGAGCCGCCACCAGCAGCCGATTCATGCGCCACGACGGCCATAGAGGAGGGGGTCGAGCATACTGCTGCCGCGCCGCCATCTCCGCCAGCCCGCGCCGGAGAAGAGGCAGCCACCCACGACCTGTGCCGACCGCAGCCCTTGCCGCCGGAGGAGAAGACGACCGGCCGCCGCCGTCGCCCCAGGCACACACCGCCACCGCGCCGCCCGTCACGCCGTCGCTGCAGACGAACCGCCGTGCCGCCCGGCGTCAGCACCACGCCCCGGCCCGGGGTGTTGACCCGCGCCAACCCCACCACGCGGGAGGACGAGGATGCCCCGCCGCCGACCGGCCTTTGCCCGGCCGGGCCCCCTGGCGGCGGCGAGGGAGGAGGGAGGAGGGGAGGGGAGACCGGCGGAGGCGGCGGAAACCATCTTTGGTATGACCTTTTCTGGTTTTCTTATTTTGACCAGTAATGTAGAGTACTTTACTCCTAAAAGTCTAACCCCGGAACAATATGTAGGCACGATGATGAGTGAATGTGCTTTATAAGGACTTCGTTAGCTAACTTTAGTTCTCAGGCATCTAATTTGGGAAGTTTACTTCCCAGTGAGAAACATGAGTCTTCAAGCTGTACCTTTGAAACTGTTTGTCAATTTAGACATGTCAGCTAACTTTAGGAGCTCTTGGACACGGGAAAGGCTGCCCAGTCCAATGTAGGGCCAAACAAGCCCCACAATTGAACTAGCTACTTTGCAAGTTATAGCTCAAGCGATCAAATTTTAAATGGCCATGCCAGCTCAGAATGATTTCATTGATATGATCCTTGGGGAAAAGGATATCAAAATGTTTCAAAATGACCATGATTATTTATTAACTTCTGATTTTTTAAATTAAACCTGGGTCTGTGTTTCCTGGGCATATAAAGTTAGAAAACGACATGCACATATTTACTCTTAAGTGCCAAATGATTTTTGTCATGTTACTTCAATATAGGTTGAAAAACTAAAGTTCTAGGAGTACCTGTAATGTACCATTGTTGTGATTAATCATGGCCATCTATTATGCTATTTGTACAAGATGGAGCTCAGTAGAGGAGTTCACTCATTCCAAACCTTAAATGCACATTTCATACTTGTGCATCTAGAACTTAATAATGGAGAACTAAGCAATGGTTTCATAATTCCAGCACAAGGATATATGCCGGTTTGCTGGTACTGTTCCTAATGCGACAACAACAGGCGATATCGATAGCATGGCCATGTATGCTGGCCAGAGTGTTGGGCTAATCACCGAGATTGTACCAGCAAGGGAAGTTGTCAAGAGGCTAGTCGCTGAAGCACAGCGTGTCATTGGAGAAAAGCTTTCTGGTTTCCCCAAATCATCAGAGTAGTGCTGGTGAAGTCCTTGGTAATTAAACTGTTAAGGTATCTAATGGTGTACGCTGCGTGTTATTTGTAGGCAATAGCCAATGAAAATAAATGGGTTTTCCAAGGTATTCCCTTTTTACCACAGTTTTGTACTTGTATGTGTTGTTTGTAAGTATATATTCAATAAAGGTAAATGATTTCAATACAATGAGACTGACAAGCGGAGCATGTAGGCTGGAGCCACTTGTCAATTACACATCCGCTTGTGCTTATGCTTTTGGAAACTTTCATTTTCATGAACCTCAGAGCAGCTGTCACTAATCAGACCTCAGGTGTCGGGTCATCTAAGATACCAACCTATGACACTACGCACTATGGAGATAGTAGTGTATCCTAGTATAATATGCATGATACCGCCTTATGATACCACCCACTACGAAAGGTCTTAGTGGCAAGGGCAAATTAGTAATCCTAACTAGCAAGATTTTGGAGTTTGATTGGGCTGGATATGGTAAAAGAAGTTTTGGAGGTGGTGAAGTCGGGAGTAATGTCGGTGGGCTGAAATGACACATTTATTGTCTTGGTTCAAGAGGTAGATGGTTCGACAAAGAATACTCAGTTTCAGCCCATTAGCATGTATAATATGGTCTATAAGATAATTTTGAAAAATGTTAATCACATGCCCAAAGGTTATTTCGCCGAAGGTGACTGAACAGACGGGAAGTGCTTTTGTGTCGGATAATATTCTCATTGCACACGAATGCATTCATCGAATCAAGAGGGAGACCAGTAAGAATGGACTATGTGTGGTGAAGCTCGATCTTCATAAAGCATATGTCCGGCTAGAATGGTGTTTTCTGAGGAGAATGATGGACTGAACCGGGTTTGCTGACCGATGGATTGAATTAATAATGAATCGTGCCTCATCATATGTTTACAAGATTAGGTTTAATGCGGAAGAACAAAAAATAAATACTCCAGTGAGAGGCTTACGGCAGGATGACTCCTCCTTCTCGATGTACATGTTCTAGTTTGTGCTGAGGCACTCTCAAGTACACAACTCCATCCACTTTCCCCCTTGTTTCTCCCTCCGGTGGATCTCCAGCCACCCAAGGCCCGGGCCATGGATGGAGATGGCGACTTCAACGCCGCAGGCGGCGGAAGGGGAAGCGCTGGTCGGAGGCGTGGGGGGCAAGTGCGAGGCAGCCGCGGGTGGGAGACGCAGAGCGGCGCCCCGGTCCGAAGGTCGCGGCAGGAGTTCGTCGCTGAGGGCCTAACGGCAGGTGCAGCGCCGGCGAGTTGGTGGGTACGGCAGGGAGGTTGTGCAGCCGCGAGGAGGCGCCGTCTGCTTCCGCTTCTGCGGCAGGAAGGCGACGATGTGCCTCGTCCAGATCATCCATCGCCAGGCAAGCTGAGCTCCTCCCTCCCCTCTTTTCCAAATCCAAATCCTAATGCTTTGATTTGCAACTGGTTTTTCCATCAAATCAGAAACACTAAATATGGCTTAGCTCCCCTAAACATCTTGTCCCGCCCCGCTATTTTAATTCAACTGAAACTTAAACAAGCTAGCGCAACACTCGACACGAAGCGTCGTCCTCTCGGCCACTTTCACGACCACCCACCAGCAGCATAGCTTCCTCTTTTTCCATAGATGGAATCACGGAAGCTCAACCTCTCTCTCTTGCAGTGCACCCACCACCAGTCCACCACCGCCACTGTCCTCTCTCCCTTTGGGTCACTTCTCTGTTCCCTCCACCATTTTCCCATCAACTCTGCAAGCTGCGTGCTGACGCGGTCGAACCTTTGCTTGTCTGGAGGCTTTCTCTCCACCAGCGCAAGCTCGACACACACCGGTGTCTATGAAGGATAGCCTTGCCCTTGTGTGCTTTGCAGGGACTAGCAGATATGTTGATCGAAACTCTTACCTTAGCTTTCTGTCTCTACTACTCCCCTGATGTGATTAGATACATGATACAAAGATTATTCGGTGGAACTCTGTGGCGTCCAGGTAGGAACGCTCCATGCCGTCGCAATGCAGGAAGCCTTTTCGTTTGGAATCTTTTACACAGCCACCCCACAGACGACACGGCGCTCTCCCTAGCCATGTAGCTCAAGGACGAACCAGACCGAACAATCTGATTTGACTCACGTCACGTATAGGTACAGGAGCATCTAGGGCGTGCGTGCAAGGTTCAGCACGCAGCATTTAACGTTGAGGCCCCGAAGCCATTTCTGTGCTCTGCCCATCTTTTTTCTCTCACAAATCCAACCGAGGTAGAGTGAGCGAAAGAGGAAGAAGCATTTGCTGCTCTGCGCCGTGCCGTGCCCTCCTGTGCGCAGCCGCCGCCACCATCCGGTCGTCCTCTCTCCCTCTCGGTTCCTTCCACCACCACCACCACCACCTCTCCTCCTCACACGCCAAGCTCACGCACATTGGCGTCGCCCCCCAGCTTCCTTTCGGAATCGCAGCTCCAGCCATGGCATCCTTGGCCAACCTCCTGATCTCACTTTTCTCGCTCACCCTCGTGCTCCTGCATGCTCCTGCACCTGCGGTATGCGACGACCTAGTCGCAGGCCTCTCTCCAAGCCATCGCACATACATTGTGATGCTGAGGCCACCCGTCGAAGCCGGCAGCGAGGACGACCACCGCTGGTGGCAGGATTCCTTCCTGCCAACGCCTCTCGCCGGCTCCGATGAGCCACGCCTCATCCATACCTACACTGAGGTCTTCACGGGGTTTGCCGTGAGGCTCACCGAAGATGACCTCGCCATGGTGTCCCAGAGGAAGGAGTTTCTGCGGGCGTTTCCATACCATCTCTGGCGCCCCAGCACCACTCACACTCCGAAGTTCCTCGGACTGGAGAAAGATGCCGGGCTGTGGAGGGACACCAACTATGGCCAAGGAGTCATAATCGGGGTCCTGGACACTGGCATATACGTAGAGCATCCTTCCTTTGATGACAGTGGCATCCCGCCACCCCCATCAAAGTGGAAGGGCTCATGCCATGGCGCTGCACGCTGCAACAACAAATTGATAGGTGCCAAATTCCGTAATCCCAGAGTATATGATTCCGGTGATGACACGGGGCATGGAACACATACCTCGTCCACCGCAGCTGGGAACTTCGTCAGTCATGCCTCAGCCCACGGCCTCGGCAGGGGCACAGCTGCCGGAATTGCTCCACATGCACACTTGGCCATGTACAGGGTGTGCATAATTCTTGGGTGTGCATCCTCGGACATAGTTGCCGGGTTAGATGAAGCCGTCAAGGATGGTGTTGATGTGCTTTCACTCTCCCTCGGCCCCTTTTTTGATGTCAACTTCACTGATGATCCGGTTGCCATTGGCACATTCAATGTGGTAGCAAAGGGTGTTGTTGTCGTGGCTGCAGCTGGTAACAACGGTCCAAGGTCCTTTATTGCCAACTCTGCACCATGGTTGCTCACAGTTGCAGCTGGCTCGGTGGACCGAAGCTTCCAGACCGTTGTGCAGCTTGGCAACGGCGAGCACATCAGTGGGGAAGCTTTCAATCAGACTGCGAACTCAAACTCCAACTCTGTTCCTCTGTATTGGAACAAACACTGCAAGTCATCATTGGCTGGAAGAAATGTGTCTGGCAAAATTGTGATTTGCCATAACACAGGACCAATGAATGACACAGGGTCAGCAATCAACCAGTCTGACATCAGTGGCATCATGAGTGCCGGGGCGGCTGGCATAGTCCTGATCAACAGGAAAGATGCTGGCTTCACCACCCTTCTGGAGGATTATGGCAGTGATGTTGTGCAGGTGACCGTGGCTGATGGCAACAATATCATAGGGTATGCAAGGGCAACAAGCAAAGCCAGTGCCAAAGTCATATACAAGAACACTATGCTTGGTGTCCGTCCATCTCCCACTGTCGCGGCATTCTCATCCCGCGGTCCCAGCACGTTCAGCCCCGGTGTGCTAAAGCCAGATATATTAGCACCCGGGCTCAACATCATTGCTGCATGGCCACCACTCACCATTCTTGGATCTGGGCCATTCAACATTAGATCAGGGACATCCATGTCGACTCCACATGTCAGTGGAATCGCTGCGCTTGTCAAGAGCTCCCATCCTGATTGGTCTGCTGCTGCTATCAAGTCAGCCATCCTCACCACAGCTGACATCACGGACAGCGCTGGTGGCCCGATCTTGGACGAGCAGCATCAGAGGGCAACTGCGTATGCCATGGGTGCTGGCCATGCCAATCCTATAAAAGCTATTGACCCGGGCCTTGTGTATGACCTTAGCATCACTGAATATGCTGGCTACATATGCGCTCTCCTCGGTGATCAAGGCTTGGCAACCATTGCGCGTGACCCGACGCTGTCCTGCAAAATGCTTCCCAAGATACCAGAGGCACAGTTGAACTACCCATCCATAACAGTGCCACTCAGGACAAGGCCATTCACGGTGAACAGAACCGTGACAAATGTGGGGCCAATAAATTCAGTATACACACTGAAGATGGAGGTTCCCAAGTCGCTCACAGTGCGAGTCTACCCAGAGACGCTGGTGTTCTCCAAGGTTGGACAAAAGAAAACATTCAGCATTACGGTGAGCAGGCATCGCAATGTCGGGTCAAAGGCCTTGCAGGGAAGTTTGAGCTGGGTGTCCAAAAAACATATTGTGCGTAGTCCGATCGTGGCTTCTCCTCTGTTGTAATCAGTAAAAGCATGTGTGACACATGACGTTGTAGAATCGCGCATGTAATATTGTAATTAGGGAAATGACTGTCTTTTAATTAGAAGTGTATCCATGCCTGTAAAATAATTGATGTTTGGACGTTTAGCATCCATTGCTGTCACAATTCTTTTCTGAATTACTTTTTCCTTTTCCCAACTTATCAACAATGTTTGCTGCAGGTAGTAGATCACCATTGAGAGGTGCTGCTTCTAAGGTGTAAAATCCATCCAGGTACCTAAACCTACCCTTTCCCTCATATGGGTATATGCCATTGCTACCTCCAGATTTTTTATCCGCGCTATTGATGATATACTTTCTGCCGATATGAGCTATTGATGATAAACTTGCTCTTTTTTTGTTTCCTCTACATTAGTTCCTTTCAATGCTTAGGTTCAGTTGGGCACTAATGACTATTTCGGGTGCTTTGAAATTAGATTTTGATGATATTAAGGTCATCATCAATCTACATGAACAAAGGAGAGGTTTGCCTGAATACTCGTAGCTAAATTGGTTTTTCTCCCTGTGTTTCTTTTCTGGTCCTTTTTGTCTTTTGCAGTTGGTGTATATATGTTCCGAAGCTAAATTGAGTCTTGACTTTTAAGAAGAAAAATACATCGTTGCAGTAATTGTACAGTTTAAACCTATTAGTTCGTGTTGTAAGCACATGTATTAGTGAGTCAGTTTAGAGCTTGTACTATTAGTTGTGCATGTTAGCTCACTCCCCTGTCTCAACCCGGAGCCAGGCACCGAGTTAGACCTTGCCAACACACAATCTCTTCTTCCTCAACTCCTCTGCTTTCTGCCTCCAGGTCCAGGTCGCTCTCCTCAGTGGTGCTACATGAGTGAAGATTTATGTTTGCTACTGGATCCGAAATCCTTCATCTTTGCTGATGCTATTCCCCTATATTTTCCCATCACTTGACACTCTGATCTCCCTGATTTTGGTCTCTGGTTTTTGAAATGCAGATAGTGGCCGCAGCGTTGCCGCTGGACGGTGCACACTGGAGCTCGAGTATGCAGCCACGACAGAGCTGCTCGGACATCACTGTATGTTGATGTTCTCTATCACTCCTGAACACCTTGAACTCTCCTCTACTTGATCTAGAGGTTTCTGGGACCTAAAATGCTCTTGTGTGCTGAGACAAAATCCCCAACTCTCGCCTTTAAACCCAGCATTTATATTAGGCCTAAACCCATAATTTATACTGATGTTTAACTCAAATTCCCACCTCAATGGTTTCTGCTATAAAACTGAGGTGATGGTGTCGTTAAGTCCTAAGTATTTTGCTTGCCTTAAAGCATTTCACTATTTTCTTCATGTCGCCAGCTTTTTCCGTTAATGAAACCGTTGTGGTGACATGGGATTTGTGCTTGTACGTGAGAAAAGAAAAATGATGGCATGAAGAAAAACACCTTTTTTTGATGCAATTGCTCCTTTTTGTTCTTGCTTGCTGGCTTTGTCTCTACTCTGGATGCAATTGCTTCTTTAGGCATGCTTCTCAGCTCCTCCCCCTCCCACGACAGCCAGCATTGGTGGTCTCTCAGGTTACCACCTCCTTTGGTTCTTGTTTTTTTTAATTGGGAAAGAGAAGTGGAGACGGTGGGAAGGGGGGAACTACGGCCAGGTGAATATCTTCTTCTATTCTTATCCCTCCTCCTCGAGCAAGTATACCTTTTTTTTCTTTCCCGAAAAGAGGGTAAAAGCCCCCGGTATCGATTGAAGCAAGTTATCCCATACCTTGGTCTAGATGATCCTTTCATTCATTGGTTGAGCTACTATGCTTACACTATTCGAGCCCCTTGTATGTTTACAAAGACGATTAGTGCAGCTGCACTGTATTTATGATGAAAATGCTGGTTCATGCACAGTATTAATGTTGGTGATCTATCTGTTTATAGGTGCACAGTGGGTTTTATTCTGCATATCATAATACAACATTGCGTGATGGAGTCATCAATGGCATCCAGAAGACCAGGGAAGCATATGACAATATTCCCATCATGGTGACTGGACATTCTATGGGAGGGGCCATGGCTTCGTTTTGTGCCCTTGATCTTATTGTGAGTGCTAATATTTGTCTGAAGAAGATATGCTTTCATTTATTTAGAAGTTTCTCTACTTTTCATGAATGCATCCTCCTGCTAAATTCTACTACAAGCTGACCTTTTTGAATGGAATAGGGTGCATTGTTGGGGATTCCATTCCTCCTCTGTTCTTAGTTTTAATCGATTCTTTCATGTGTATAAAATGCATTGAAAAAACTTCTAACATCACTAAAATCAATACTACATAAGTACTGCACAATTCTCAGACTGAACTCTCTTTACATTTGACAGACTAGTTATTGCTAATATTTTGTTGGGAATGACAGCAAGTGTCGGCGAATCAAGAACCTCAGTAATAGTATAATTTGATTTCTGTGCTGTTCTTCTGAATACAAAAATCTTAGACGAGGCAGATGTAACTATCTTTGTTCATGTGTGGACAGTACACCCTCTGTATATCTGAACAGTGGCATCAAGCATAAGTAGTACTAGCGTCTGTTTTTGTCTATCCTGAAAAGTACGACATGCTTCTGATTTTAGCCACCACTAGTTGAATGCCCGTGCGTTGCCACGGAACAATAAACTTAGACATGAGTGATTGCTAAAAAGAAATCAAATATGATTTCATAAATATATGTTTTGAGAACAGAGGTGTAGGTGGCATACATGTATTTCTTGTAATCAATTCGAAACAAATCAAACATACTTCCCTTCCATGTAGTTGGCTAAGGAGAAAAATGAAGAACCGACAAACTTGATGATACACATGCTCATAGTTTTCTGTGGGTCGAGTGTTGCTCCACTGGTTATTTAACATCCGATCTTGTTGCCAACCTATTGAATGAGACGAGTCAATTTCAAAAGCTAGTTTGTTAGTGTACGAGTTCAGGAAGAACTGTAATTCGTACTTCGGTTGGTGTAGTAGCAGTATACGCCTAGCATGTTTTCCAGTCATATCTAGACACGACATAATGTTTGCTATCTCTTATTGTTGTCCATTCTGCAAGGCTATTTGACTGAAAAATCATCAATATGTCTGCATTTGGTGGCATTGGTATTCATACCTACAAGGGAAACCGATTCTTACCATTTCATTATCCCATCCTAAAAGAAAACCATGCAGTAAAAAAATAAGCCCATTTTACACACTCCGACCATAGACCTAGTATTACACATCAATTTTCAGTTACTCTGAGTGCTAGTTCCAAACTGATCAAAGAAGCAAATAAATGAAAAACTCACGTTGAAACAAACAAACGGAATATGATATAAACTTCACTATGCAGTTATTGTGCTTCACTCCAAGGATGTTGAGAATCATACAAGATATGGTCCTGGTTTATATATATTAGCAAGGCCACAAAAGACCAATAGCTTGAGAGTACCACAAAAGTCCAAAACAATTGTTCTCGGTGGGCTCTCCACGTGGTGAATTAATCTGTTTCCGCCTGCACTGTGCAGTAAAGTAAAATTGCACAAAAGTTTTTTTCAATGGCACAATAGTTTTAGTAGTATCCCCCTAAAACTAATTTTTGTACTATAATGTTTGTTACTAAAGACAAGCTAAGAAGATATTATGCTGTAATAATCTATGCAAGCAGGTCGCCTATACAACTAAATGTCATTAAAAGAACTTCAGTGGCCTAGTTTCCTTCCTTGTAAAGATATAGGGTGTCGAAGGCTTCATAGATAAGAACATAGTGATGCAAAACAAAGAAAAGGAAAAAAACAATTGACTCACTTATATCAAATTATTGTAATAGACTTTGAGATACCCCGGGAGGCGATGTGTAATGACTTTACCAAAAAAATGATGCATAATATCTGAACTTTTCTGGTTTTTGTATTGTTGCATGATGTGATAAAAACTTCCAGGTATCAGAAACTTTAGCACACACTCAAAGGATGAAAGAAGATTAAACTTCTATTTCTAGATGCAGGTGAATACAGTTCAAAACCACATAAAATTATATGGGCTTAAAATGGACTATGAACACAACCAGGCAAACAAAAAACAGGAAACATTTTTGTCCTTACCTTCATACCTCAGCAGCAAAATTTCTATTCCATTGCCAAACACAACCTGCAGAACAAATCAGTACATTACTGCTACAGTTGGTGAGATGTTGTCAAGCTTAGTGACAGAAGAAAAACATCACAATGTACCATCCCTTCAGCTAGTGACATCTTGGAGTTAAGCATAGATGATTTCCAAAACAAGAAGTGTGATGTTGTCAAGCTTAGTGACAGAAGAAAAACATCACAATGTAGCATCCCTTCAGCTAGTGAGCTCTTGGAGCTAAGCATAGATGATTTCCAAAACACGAAGTGAGATGTTTTATTTGGGACTCACCCAAACACACTTCTGCCGATTCTCTTGCTTAAACTATATATCTTCAATAATCTGCAATAGGAAATGGTGTCAAGAAAGACCAACTTAATAAAATGGGTTGCAACATATAGTCAATAACCATCCAGGTGCGTACCATATTTCTTTTATGAAAACCAGAACAAAGTTATTTATGTGCATCTCTAGTTATAAACCAACTGAAATTAGTAAAATGTCTGAGGTGAAAACACATAAAAATTAATGGACTAAAAAAATAGCAGGATTGAGCACCACATCCCAAGTGTTGCATGTTGAAAAGGGTAATCTTTAAGACTTTAAGGTTGATCCGTCATGAACAAAAAGCTTGCACAAATTGTCAAATTCTGTAAAAAAAATCAATATTAAGAGGACTGTTAACTAACACCTCAAGGAGTTTTCTGAAGTAGGGAAATTAGCATGATTCTGACAAGTCAAGAATTGTACCTTTTCCAAGCTTCACCTCTCCGTCCCTAAAAGTTTGTCTTAGATTTGTCTAGATACAGATGTATCTAGACACATTTTAGTGTTAGGTTCATCCATATTTAGATAAATATAACACATTTTA